TGAGCCCGGGATTCGGAAACGTTTTCACCTCAGTGACTCTTTTAATAACTTAACCAACACTTTTTAATGAATCATGTTTCATGTAATCATAGATAAATTGAAGCCCAGCTCTGTTTCTCTTTTCCTGGAGATCTTTTTTGGGTCTGCTGCTGTTTTGTTTATCCCCAGTGGTCCAATCAGGAGAACAGCTTTGTGAACTTCTCCCATACCTTCCTGTTTATCTTTAAACTGACTTTATTTGCAGGTTTCTCTGAGAACAAGCAGAAACGTTTGTTAAAGCTGTGGTGTTGGTTTGTTTTTCACACCTCTGTGTGCCTGTGTGTGGGGCAGCTGCGCCTGGTGGTGGTGCTGTTCCAGGGCGTCCTGCATCTCAGCGTTGACTTCATCAACTCCTTCCCTCTGTTCGCCATGGCGCTGCGGATCTGTCGGCCCTACAGACTGGCTGGTAAATCTCATTACTTCTGAAAAGCAGAAACCTTGGCGTGTGTAAATTTATTTTTATTCCATTTTCAGAGGGTGTGAAGTTCAGGGTGCTGTGTGAGGAGCCGGGCACCGCCCTCCACCTGCTGATGGAGGTGAGATTTCCCAGTTTGACGCTCCGTTTTGGACGTTAGCTGGTGCTGGAGGTGCAGGTTGTTCCCTGACGCTGCCGTTCCTCTGCAGATCAACCCTCTGAAGTGCAGCAGCGTCGTCCAGACCTACCGCACGCCGACCTACAGCTGCTACCCCAGGGACTCCTGGGCGGCGCTCGTCAAGAAGCTGTTCATCGGGGAGCTGATTTATCCCTGGAGACACAAAACCACCAAGTCTGACTGACGGCAGAAACTGTGAAGTATTCTGAGCAACTTGAATGATTGATTATGAACACTCATTCCATCTTTTTTAGTACATATTTTTTATTTTTGTCAACACTTAAGAAAGATGTGAAACACTCCTAACGTAGTTTCAATGCTGCTTCACTGAACAATAACAATTTCATGTAATTTCACCCTAATGGGAGTAAAAATTTATAAAATTTTGACAAATTAAAGGGTTTTGTTCTAACAAAATGTTACAGATTTAGATTGTTAAAAGATTGAAGATGATTTCTGATTGAAAATGAATCAAGATTTTCTCATTTTTAGTTATTCGACAGGGTTAGGCACCATATATTTAGATATTTTTTTTATGTTTCTTTATTTAAAAGTTTGATTTTCACTGGAAAAGTCAACTTTGAAAGAGAACCAACATTTCTGCTTAGCTGTTGTCTCAGCCAATCAGAGACAGAATGCCGGGTCATGTGACACAACGCGCCGGGTCATGTGACACAACGCGCCATGCAGGACTCCTGCTCAGCTTTTTCCAGGGCTGGAAATGTGATGAAAATCTGAAATTGTTTTAGAAAATTATCCCTGTTACCTTAATTATTGACAATTTTGTGTGGCTCTTGTTTACTAAAATATCGATCAAGTCCAGCCTTTAATTTGAGAACATTTGCGCTAAAAAGATCAAGTCATTCATTAAAAACATGTTCAGTACAACTGAAAATAAGCCCAGTCATCAGAGGCACTTAACTAACAATGATACTAAGATAAATCTTTCAAAAAATGTAAAAGGCAAACAGCAGAACTTTTATTTATTTTTTTAAATTTTGTTTTATTGTTTATTTGATAGAGACAAAAAGAAAACAACGTGGATCACAGCAATCTAATGCTTGCATCACAGTGTATTTATCCAAATCTAATCGCAACACTCGTCGTGTAACAGCGCCCCCGGTGGTCGGATGTATAAATGTGTTACAGGTTTGGTGAAGTTGGCTAAATGTCCACCATACTTTTTCCTTTTTTGTTCTTTATTTTTGTTTGTTTTTTAACCTGTTTTATGACATGTGAAAATGTATTCTTGAAAATAAATCAAAACTGACCCAAACATCAGCTCAGAGGTGTTCAGATGGAAGATGTGGAGGAATCATGTAGCGGGAAAAGCAGCACCGAAGTCTGTTTTGTTTTGTTCTGCTGTTGGAAACAAACTGTGGTTCTGCTTTGCGCCAAGAATTGATGGTTTTGTCTCTATTTAAAAAAAAATCATCTTGGATTTAACTTGTTTTGTGCCTGCAGCAAAACCAGTTGGTGCCAAACTGGTAGATGTTTCCCTAAAATGACTCATAGTTTCAGAAATTACGTGAAAAGATTTCCCTCTGTTCACCGCTCCAAAGTGTAGCCAGTAGGTGGCGCTGTGAGCAGCTTTCCACTGTGTAAAACCTGAATGTGTTTTTTTAAAGACACTTTTCCAGCTGATCCACCAGAGTTCGTCTGAAAACATCTGAAACAGATGCAGAGAAAATTCTGTGGAAGGATGTTTGCTGTTTGTTCTTTGAGTGTTTTTTTTTTTCGTATTCATCAACGAGTAGCACCAGAAGTTTCTGAGCCCTTCAGGTGGAAGTTTGAGTTTCAGATGCTTTCCCTGATAATGTTGATGTTGGTCCTCTTTGATGTTGTGTATAATTGATCAGTAGCTTCATCCTAATCAATAAACTTATTTTGAATAAAATGTTTATTTTTCTCCTTCCTTTTTTCCATTACTAATTATATTTTATTCTGGTAAACTACAGTTACAAAACAAGATTGATCATCAGGAATTAAAAAGCAGAATTTATTGTTTCTGTCATTTTCAGTGATTCAAATTTTAATTTGAATGATGTGGCTCACCACCCAGGGTGGCATTTCTTTACAGGGTGACAAAAGTCTTCACCTCCTTGGATGTTTTACAAATCATTCATGATTAACTAAGCTTAGCTTTTTTTGAAAAAAAAAAAAAAAAAAATCAAATATCCAAGTAAAAACTTATTTCTATAAATTACAATAATTGGATCTGTAAGATAAAATAAGTGACTGTATAAATATGCACCCCATTCCAGTCAGTATTTAGTATTTGCATCTCTGTCTGTGTGGATCTGGACGCTGCAGTTTTCTTCCTGCTAAACTGTTCCATCTCTGGACATCATCTGTAAACAGGTCTGGGCTTTGATTAGGCCACTCAAGAACCTCCATCTTGTTGTCTGTAAATCTTTAGCTGAATGTTTTGAGTTGTCATTTTCTCTGTTTTCTTATTTCCTCAAGATATTTTTGATTCTAGCACCAATTGACTGGGCCGCTGTTGAATTAGGTCAGTCACTTTTTATGCAGTCACTCATTTTGTGTCTGATGTTTTTTTTTAATAGATGCAAAACAAATCACCTCGTCCAGGGTGGCATTTAGCATAAATGTTTTTAAATGAATCTCAATAGCTTTTAGGTTTTCTATAAACAAGAACTTCCAGAAACATTAAAGCACCTTAAAAATGGCGGTAATCCTCATGGCAACGCAGGTAAATAAATAAAAATCCAACTTTATTTCCTGACATCCTTCTGCTCAGCAAACACATTTGTTTTGATTCATTATTTGCTGACTTAGAAAAATCACATGGGTTTGCTGAGAAAATATTAAAGCTGTTTACTGCTCTAACTGCAGCTTAATTCCTAGATTTCCATCTAGCAGTCTTGTTAAAGCTGCTGCTGTCAGCGCAGGTTTGCATGCTTCATTCATTATGTGTGTAGGTGTTCTGGCTGAGCTGAGTGTAGGGAGATGAGTCATGGTGATATAAACACTGATTTCACACAGATGGCAGCTAATGCTAACGCTAATGCTCCATGTTGACCATTTTGACACAAAAAAATTAAGTTTTGGTAGTGGAAATATGTTTATTCTGTTTGCAGTAGCTGATTTATCAGGCTATATGGTGTAAAAGAGAAAACCTGTCTATCGCCACCCTGACCATTTGTGTCCAGGATGTGTGGGGTCTGCAGAGGCGTTAGCTAACCCATCAGAGTGATTTACAGTGGCTCTCAAAAGTCTACACACCTCATTTTAAATCCCAGGTTTTTGTGAAGTTAAACATGAAACCATGATTGATATTTTTTGAATTATTTTCCACAAATAATATAACATGCATCATATTCAATTCAAGGGGAAAAATATTTATTTGAACTTTTGGAGATCAAATATGTCATCAGTTATGTAAAACTAAATTAATCCAGTCAGTTTATTTCCCCAGAACATTTCTTTAAATATCCCAAATAAAGTTTTCTGTGCATTTTTTCCACAGCATTGTCTAAATAATAAATATAATATTCAAAGGTGATTCGGCAAAAGCTCCTCCAATCATTTCTTACTTATTTCTTACTTCTTTATCAGAATATACTAGATCTCTAGTAAAAAAAAATGGCTGATCCAAATGCAGCACTAGGTCTGGTTCAGGTGGACGTTTCATCCTGTTCAAAGGGAACCATTCCTCTCTACTATCACCCTGTGCTTGCTCTCAATGGCAAATAGAAAAGGCAAGCTTCAGTTCAATTTTCTGGTTTTCATATTTAGAAAATATTTAACTAACTGGGTTTTTAATGGATTCGAATATGATCCTGACTGTTGTGTATAAATTTAATTGATTGGTTGTAACTGGATTTGTATGGAACTGATTGAGAACTAGTTGTTCTTAGGTAACATAGTCTCTGATTACGCAGTTTATCGCATCAGGCAACAAGATAAAAAGAACTGGAATGGAATTATGACCTCCTTTAATCTCAATTTATCCTATTTTATGTGCTGGTGCTGATAAACATGATTAAATTGAGGTGATTATTTAAACTGAAACAGTTAATAAAAGATGTCTAAGAAGTTAGAGTAAATTGTGTAAATAGGGTATGACTGTCCCTTTACAACCCACAGTAGACTTTGATTTAATCATGTTAATCGACATGATGAAATGTCTCTGTCTTTGTTCTAACAGCACTCTGGGAAGAATGGAACATCTTTTTGTGTCCACATACCCCCTCCACCATCTGCGCATTGTTGACAACAATCTGTGATAGACATTTTTCTTGTCCAATAGACGCGCCTGTTTACTACCCCCGCGAAACCCAGCGTCCAATCACATGAGAGATAGGCGGAGAAGAGGGCGTGGCTAGTGCTGCGTAGGGAGAGCGGCGGAGCAGCGAGTGGCAGTGTTGTTGTGGCGCTTCGTGGAGGAGGAACATCTGTGATTATGACAGACAACCATGAAGAGGAATGGAAACATCGCGGGCTGAGATTTCCGAGTGCACCCACACGGATTTGGACTGGACGCAACAACCTTTCGGCTGCGTGATTTCCAGCCATTTCTCGGGTCCTTCCCCTGGATTTGAAGTTACGGACTGTTTTGTTCCCGGAGTAAATGAAGAGAAGGGGGGCCTGAAATTATACAGACGTTGGGGGGAAGTTGGGCTAGCTGGGGGGAAAAAACGTTACTGCTCGTTGAAATAGCGCTACTTTATATATTTTAGCTTTACTCTAAAGTCTAATTTAAACTCATTTAGGGTTATATCCTGAAGCTGTCTTTTATGTAAATTTTATTTTGATTGAAAGCAGCTGTGGGAGAGCTAGGCTAGCCCGCTAGCTCCCATGCAGAGCTAGCTTCTCGTTGCTACGAAAGCGTCTCCTGAATGAAAAAGAGAAACGACGCATTTCTAGTTTGAGAGCGTTTTAAAACAAAGTCACAACAAAGCAATGAGAAGTTTAATATAATTACTGACATGTTTTTGCTGCTTTTTTAGAGTTTCCAACCGGATTCAGATGGAGTTAATAGTTTCTTCAATCGATATTTAAAGGCAGGCTCAGCTTCAGTTTGATTACATAATGTCTTATTTACATGGGATTTTTTTCTCCCAATGTGCACTATCTTTAATCAAGCTTCACAGTATCTAACATATTTATGACACCCACTTTATTTAAAAATTTAAGCTGGAAATAGTGAAAAACAAAGCCTCTGCAACTGGACCCACATCCAGGTAGTTCATGGCAAAACAGACTTTGTTTTGGATCAAGCCAGAGGGAAATAACATATTTTGAGCCTCCTGAGGTCAGAGGTGAAGATGGGCAGCCAGGGCAGCCCGGTGAAGAGCTACGACTACCTGCTGAAGTTCCTCCTGGTGGGAGACAGCGACGTGGGCAAAGGGGAGATCCTGGACAGCCTGCAGGACGGATCTGCAGAGTCTCCGTATGCTTACAGCAGCGGTGAGTCACTGCTGGCAGAAAAACCTGCTTTTCTGATGGCTCACGCTTTGGCAAGAAAAGTCCTGAACATTCGCGCTCTGTGTGGATGTCACAGTGGGGCAGAGTAAACAATGCTTCTCATTCACGTCCCCAATGTAGCACATGATGCTCTGTGTCTAAACCTGGAAACTAATTGTCATAACTGGGTGTAATTTCCACCTTATCTGATTGATGGAAAGGTGGAAGGTGGAAACTATACTCTGTGTTTAGAGCAAAATGATTTAATGAATTATCACCAAAAGTTGCTTGGACCGCAGTTTTTAAATATAGCTTAATAAAATACTGAATAATTTTTTTCTAGTCTGAGGATCAACACAAACTGGGGTCTTTGTTTGCATTGAACCCCAGAAAGGAAAATGTCCAAACTGTTTGATTAGGTCTGCTGTAACAAGCAATAAATCAATTTAATCGCATGATAAATTAAAACAAACTCATTTCCATTGATTGTTTTTCTCTTTTTACCAAAAACTGGATGACAAAAGTATTCAGTCTGGTGAGTTGGCCACAATTAGCCTTTTTTTTTTTTTTTTTTTTGAAGGACAGACTTCATTTTCTATTTTTATTTTGCCTGTCATTCATACTATTGATTAAAATGCAATCAGATTTCTGTAGGAATAATTTGTGTCTTCAAAGTGACTTATTTGGCAGCAAAGATGGCCGCCACAGCGCTCTCTTTATTACAGTAAAGATGGCCGCCACAGCGCTCTCTTTATTACAGTAAAGATGGCCGCCACAGCGCTCTCTTTATTACAGTAAAGATGGCTGCCTCTGCGTTCTATTTATGTCAGTAAAGATGGCCGCCACAGCGCTCTGTTCATGTCAGTAAAGATGGCCGCCACAGCGCTCTCTTTATTACAGTAAAGATGGCTGCCTCTGCGTTCTATTTATGTCAGTAAAGATGGCT